CAAGGAATTCTGAGAATATGAAGGTGAGAGCACAATTGAGAGAACAAAACAAGTGTTTTAAGTGTTTTGAGCCATGGCAGCCTGGGCATAGGTGTAGGGGATCCACACTCCACAATACTGAGGATAGTGAATTCCATGATGCACCAGAGGAGTTAGGTAAAGATGAGCAGGAGGACAGTGAAGGCCAAGAACAAGCTGAAGTCTCCCTATATGCCATAGTGGGGGGTGAAGGACTAAACACAATTAAACTGCTAGGGAATATCTCCAAACAACCAGTGGTGATCTTAGTTGACAGTGGGAGCACCCACAGTTTTCTGGATCTTAAGCTCCTAACTCAATTAAGGATTGAATCAGAAAAGGCCCCAATACTCAGTGTCATAGTGGCTAATGGGGAACAGGTGAGATGTGATACTATGTGCAGAGGATTGAAGTGGCAGATCCAAGGGGAAATGTTTGAGAAGGATTTCAAATTATTGAGACTAGGGGGTTGTGACATGGTCCTTGGAATGGATTGGATAGATCAATATGCTCTTATCCAACTCCATATTAGGCCCCTAGGCATCTCATTCCACAAGGATGGAAAGAAGGTCTTATTGAAGGGCCTGACAAGCAAGACAGCTAGACTACAGGAAGTGTCCAAGAAGGACTTACAGAAATGGCAAAGAGGTGGAATACAAGGGTTCCTAGTCTAATGTGAAGGCTTGAACGACAAGGGGCCTAAGGTAACAGAGGGCAATTGTTTTAAGGTAACCATTCAGACAAAATATCAAAAATTGTCTGCTATAATCAAAGAATTCCAAGAGCTGTTTGAAGAACTTAAAGCCCTACCTCCCAGGAGAATGTATGATCATTCTATCCCTCTGATCCCAAGGTCACAACCAGTAAATATCAAGCCCTACATATATAGCTTTGATAAAAAAAATGTCATAGAAGAAATGGTGAGAGAAATGCTGGAAACTAGGGTGATTTCTGAGAGTGTGTCCCCTTTTTCTTTACCTGTGTTGTTAGTACCAAAGAAAGACAACACATGGAGGTTTTGTATTGACTATAGAGCATTGAACAACATCACTGTCAATAATAAATTTCACATTCCAGTAGTGGAGGATCTATTTTCTGAACTAGCAGGCTCCAAGTATTTCTCTAGACTAGACCTGAGAGCAGGATACCACCATGTGAGATGAAGGAAGGGGAGGAGTATAATACTGCATTCAAAACTCACCAAGGGCTGTATGAATTTAGAGTTATGCCCTTTGGACTCACCAATGCCCCAGCTACCTTCCAGGCCTTAATGAACCATGTTTTCAAACACTTATTGAGGAAATTTGTATTAGTCTTTTTTTATGACATTCTGATCTATAGCCCTGAATTGGAAGCTCACTGGAAACACATGAAGGAAGTCCTGGAACTTATGAGAAGACACAAGTTATATGCTAAAATCAGCAAATGTTCATTTGCTAAGAGAGAAGTGGAATACTTGGGACATGTTATTTCTGGAGAAGGGTTGCACACTGACCCTTCCAAATTGCAGGCAGTAGCTGAATGGCCTAAGCCCATGTCCATTAAAAGCCTGAGAGGATTCTTGGGGCTGACTGGCTACTATAGAAAATTCATTAAGGCTTATAGAACAATTAGCAGGCCATTGACAAACATGCTGAAACAAAACTCCTTTTAGTGGAACAAGGAAGCTGAACTGGCCTTTGATACATTGAAGCAAGCACTATGTCAAGCTCCTGTCTTGGCATTACCAGATTTTATAAGGGAATGGGAGGTGTGCTGATACAAGAGGGAAAACCTATAGCCTATTTCAGCAAGGCTTTTGGAGATAAGCATTTAGGCTTATCAATCTATGAGAAAGAGTTTCTGTCTATCATTAATGCAGTAGAGAAGTGGAGGCCCTATCTACTGGGAACACACTTCTTTATTCAAACTGATCACCACAGCCTTAAATTTCTCCTAGATAAAAAAAATAACAACTGCTACACAACAAAGAGAACTATCAAAACTGTTGGGGTTGCATTATACAATCTAGTACAAGAAAGGCAATGAGAACTGTGTTGCTGATGCCCTTTCCAGCAAAGAAGCCGAACTCAATTCTATCATTGTCATTAGGCCCTAGTGGATAGAGGAAGTGGTTACTAGTTATGAAGGTGATGAGTGGGCTCAGGAGCAGTTGACAAGGAACCTGATTAGCCCTGGCAGTGATCCCAACATTACAATAACTGATGGGTTGATCATGTATAAACATAAGACATATGTGGGAAGTAATGGGGAACTGAGGAATAGATTGATTCTACAAATTCATGCCTCACCATTGGGGGGCACTCTAGGCAGCAAGGAACTTACCAGAGACTGATGTCCTTATTCTACTGGAAGAAGATGAAGTTAGCAGGCAAGGCAGTGGTAGAAGAGTGTGATACATGCCAGAGGTGTAAAGGGGAAAATGTTGCCCTTCCTGGCCTCTTACAGACCAAGCCTGGAAAGGAAATTCTATGGATTTTATTGAAGGATTACCTAAGTCTCAAGGGAAAGAAGTAATCCTGGTTGTGGTGGACAGATTGACAAAATATAGCCATTTTATTGCTATTAATACCCCTATTTTGCTGAAAGTGTAACCCTAACATTCATGGAAAATGTCTACAAGTTACATGGGTTACCTGTGGATATTGTAACTGACAGGGACAAGGTGTTTCTCAGCAAATTCTGGCAATCCATCTTTAAACAACTATATGTCAACTTAAGTATGTCCACTGCCTATCATCCCCAATTAGATGGCCAAACTGAGAGGGTCAACATGTGCTTAGAAACCTATCTCAGGTGTATGGTATTTAGCAAACCAAAAGTTTGGGCAAAGTGGTTGTTCTTAGCTGAGTACTGGTATAACACAAATTTTCACTCATCTCTGCAATGCACACCTTTCCAAGCATTGTATGGGTACAAGCCTCCTATGTTGGGCCTTGACCATGGACAGAAGATGAGATCATAAGGCTGGTTAGCAGAAAGGGAAGCATGTAAGCAATTCTTAACGACAATTTGAGACTAGCTCAACAAAGGATGAAATATCAGGCTGACAGAAGAAGGTATGAGAGAGTGTTACAAGTGGGGGATTAGGTATATCTAAAGATTCAACCCTACAAGCAAGTCTCAGTAGCTGTGAGGTCCAATGTGAAGTTGGCATCCAAATACTATGGACCATATGAAGTTATTGAAAAAGTGGGAGCTGTGGCCTATAAACTGGCCTTACCAGCAGATGCACAAATCCATCCTGTATTCCACATTTCTTATTTGAAAAATAAGGTGAGAAACCAGATAGCACCTCAATGTGAACCACCCACTGTGGGACCAGAAGGAGAAGTACCCACACAACCAGTAACAGTGCTGGACAAAAGGCGGGTGAAGAGGGATAACAAAGCAATTACTCAAATCCTAGTATAGTGGGCAAATCTCCCAGTTGAAGCTGCCACTTGGGAGGATTTTTACCATGTTAAGAGTCAATTTCCTGAGTTTGATCATTGGGGTCAAGGATCATTGAGAGGAGGATGTAATGTAATGGTTCAAAGAGTTAATCAAGAAAGGGAAAGAGCATACGATGTCGTATGAGCAAGGAAGTTAAAGCTGTTAGAAGAAGATACGAAACGCAGCGTTGGAAGGAAGAAGTTAGTAGCAGTTATGAAGACAGCCAACGATGTCGTTTAGCTTTTGAATCCGTTAAGTTTGTTAAGATAAAGAACTTAAATAGCCGCAGTTGTAATGTGAAGGGGTTAGACAATTCTGATAATGCAATTTCTCTTTTCTCAACTCTCAACTCTCAACTCTCATCTCTCAACTCTCAACACTCAACTCTCTTCTTCTTCTACCTCGCATCTCTCTCTTCCAAACCCTAGTTCCGTTACATACACCACTCAACACTCCAGATGTATGTAATTTCACCCGATAGCAGGTTAACACCTAATTTCACCCGATAGCAGGTTAACACCTCATCTAGCAAGTTGCATGTTGATGTAGACGATGACTTGACATTTTTTTTTCTAAATTTCCTTTCCATTTCTTCTTTTTATTTTTGAAAACCATTTTCTTGCATAATTCCACAAAACTCTTACTCATAATATATTTTTTCTTTTTCTTTTTAAACAACAGGTTACTACAAATAGCGAACTACTGTTCGCAACAACAATTTGGTGCTGCAAACAGTAGCACCTTGTTATTTTTCACAGTCCCAAATCGCTATTGCAAATAATAGCTCTTTGCTTGATGCCTAGCAGTATATCAAGTATAATTATATATATATATATATATATATATATATATATATATATATATATATATATATATATATATATATATATATATTATTAATATTTTTTTATTTTATGCAACTAGTAATTATATTTCTAAATATTTTATTTGAAAAGGATTTTTTTAAAAAAAATCCAAGTCATCGTCCATGTCAACATGGAACCTGCTAGATGGGGTGTTAACCTGCTATCAGGTGAAATTGCATGCATTTAAGTGTTGAGTGGCTTAATTGCACTTTTTCGTTCAGTGGCCAAATTGCATTTTCACATTTAGTTCAGGGGCTAATTTGAACCTTATTCCTATTTGTATTGAGCCGTCAAAATAGACTTTGCTCGTCCGTGGATCTGTCACATGGTCTATAACTCTATATTAGTAAAGGATTTGTTTTGATTTTAGAGACTCGTCAAAAGCTTAGGCAGAGCAGACATGATGAGAACTGATAGAATTGTATTGAATGAATGTTATTATAACTGTACAGATTGGGAGAATATATATAAGAGAGAATCATAGGAAGACTAGGATAGGGAGTCATACTGTGACTCAAGTACAAAGAGTCCAAATACTAGTCCTAATACTCCCCCTCAAGTACATGATATACTAGTAACTTGTAGCTTGTCTCTAATAAAAGAAAATCTAAGACTAGGTAAAGCTTTAGTAAATATGTCTGCAAATTGATCTTTTGTGGAGATAAAATTAACTTAAATGTCTCAAGAAGCAACTTTATCTCGAACGAAGTGATAATCAATTTCCACGTGCTTGGTATGAGCATGGAAGATGTGATTTGCACACATATAGATAGCACCAAGATTGTCACACCATAATTTTGGAACAGATATACCTGACACTTTAATCTCACGCAGCAAGGAGACTTTCCACATAACTTCGGCACAGACATCTGCTAGAGCTTTGTATTCGGCCCCAGTAGAAAATTTAACAATAGTTCTTTGTTTCTTACAGACCCAAGAGATAAGGTTGGGTCCAAGAAACACAGCAAAACCACTCGTGGACTTATGGTCCTCAGGGCATCCAGCCCAGTCAGAATCAGAAAACGCATGGAGTTCTCTTGATGTTGACTTTTTCATACGTAAACCAAAATCAATTGTTCCCTTTACATACCTCAAGATTCCCTTTAGGTGTTCCCAATGTGATACTGTAGGAGCATGCATGTGTTGACACAATTGATTGACTATGAATGATAGATCTGGGCGCGTGATAGTTAGATAATGTAGTGCTCCTACCAGACTTCTGTACTGTGTAGGATCCTCATATAAATCTGCACTAAAGGGTATATATTTCAAAACAGAGATAGGAGTAGACAATGCCTTACATTTTGCCATTCCAACACGTTTCAAAATATCATTCATATATCTTTGTTGCGAAAGTAAAATACCATCATCACATTTAATTGTTTCAATCCCAAGAAATAAATCAGGTTCACCAAGATCCCTAATCTTAAATGTAGTAGATAACTCTTTTATCAAATGAGTCACAAGATCCTGATCACTTCCCATCACAAGTATATCATCAACATAGAAAAAAAAACACATAAGTAGAGTTCTATGAGTAGTATAATAGAGACACATCCGTTTTTTATGTTTGAAACCCAACAGATAGTAAAAACGTATGTAAATGATTAAACCAAGCTCTAGGAGGTTTTCAAAAAAAACAAAAACTCTAGGAGCCCGTTTTAAGCCATACAAAGAAAGCTTAAGCAAACAAACATGATTGGGATATTGAGCATCAATATAGCCAGGTGGTTGCTTCATATAAACAGTTTCGGATAGATTTCCATTTAAGAAAGCATTATGAACATCAAGTTGCCTGATAACCCAACCAGAAGATAAAGCCAATGAAAGAAGTAACCTGACAGTAGTGGGTTTTACCATAGGGTTGAACGTATCAAAGAAATCATGTCCAGGCACCTGGTTGAATCCTTTTGCTACTAATATTGCCTTGTGTCTCTCAATAGAACCATTTGCCTTTCGTTTTCTGCGGAAGACCCACTTGCATCCGATAACATTCATATATGCCCGAGAGGGTATAAGACACCATGTTTGATTTTGTAGAAGAGCATTGAATTCCTGGTCCATATCCTCACGCCACTCTAAATATTTTACTGCCTGAGTGTAACAAGTAGGATCTGAGGGACAAACCTGAGCACTCAAAGCTGTGGGTGGTGCCTGAGATCTACTGCGAGTGTCCATAGTGTGTGTGTGAGTGGTAGATTTTACTGTCTTTCCTCGCAGACGCCCCCTGGGTCGAGTGGCAACAGTAGCTGATGCCTGAGCAACAGGCTGTTCGAGACCGTGAGCAGTCCCCGCGGGGAGGGGGGTCGTACCCGTGAGGAACCCCCGCGAGCTGCTCATGAGACGGTCCCACGGGGTGGTCGTTTCCTTGAGAAGGCCCCGCGGGGTGGCCAAGCCCGTGAGAGGCCCCCGCGGGTTGGTCCGGCGGGACTTCACCACCCGTCGGTTCCTCATGTTGAGACGACAGCACACCATTGTATTGCAATATTGATTCTGTCTATGGTGTCTGCAAAACATTTTTAGTGGCAAAGGGAAAAATAGCCTCATCAAACCACACATGTCTGCACACATAAACCTTATTAGTCTGTAAGTCAATGCACCTATAACCCCGGAATGACTTAGGATAACCTAGAAAGACACTCGGAGAAGACCTGTAGGATATTTTATGACGATTATATGACCGTAAATAGGAATAACATAAACACCCGAAGACACGAAGAAACGAGTATAATGGAGCAGATTTATGCATGAGTAACTTAGTAAGTGAGGAATGAAGTTATTTAACACAGTAGATGACATCCTGTTAATTAAATACACTGCAGTCTCAAAAGCAAAATCCCAAAATTTATATGGAATAGAAGCACGAGCCATGAGGGTTAGACCTGTTTCAACTATGTATCTATGTTTTCTTTCGACACGACCATTTTGTTCATGAGTGTAGGCACAAGACTGTCTATGAGTGATTCCTAACTGAACAAAGGAATGGTGCACTTTTTTGTATTCAACTCCTTTGTCAGATTGAATGGATTTAATTTTTCTATTGAAGGAATACTCAACCGTAGTACGGAATTTTTCAAAGATGGCATAAAGATCATATTTTTAGTACCAAGTGTAACGGGAGTGATCATCCACGAAAATAACAAAATAACGATAGCCATCAGTGGATAACAAAGGAGCTGGACCCCAAATATTTGTGTATACTAAATCAATAATATTGGAACTAGATGAGTCAACTCGTGGCAGTGGGAATCGGGCAGATTTCCCTAATTGGCACGCATTACATAGACCCGAACAAGACTAAAGAATACGATGTAAGACTCGATAATGTGGATGTCCTAAGCGATCATGCCACACTGACTCGGATGTGCGAGCGAAAAGAAAAGCTGAAGGAGACAAACTAGTGATAGGAAGCTTGTATAGACCCCTAGAGCTATTGCCACGTAGCAAAATTTCCATGGAATTGATATCCTTCACAAAAAAAAAAAAGGTGAAACTCAAAGAACACTTTATTATTTGGAGCAAAATTTTGAACAGATAATAAAGATGTAGACAAACTGGGAATATGAAGGATATTTGATAATTGAAAAGACCTAGATGAGGTATTAAAGGAAGCATGACCAACATGACTAATAGATAAACTCTTACCGTCACCGACACGCAAGGTGTCATTACCAACATATTCCTCCGAGGTAGATAAGACAGCAATATCTGGGGTCACATGGTTAGTTGCACCAATGTCCAGGATCCACAGCTGAGCACTACCAATGTCCGGACCATTATTTTGATAAGTTAAATTAGCCTGAGTTGGAGGATCATAGCGATTATAACACGCAACCGCCTCATGACTAATGCGCCTGCAAATCTAGCACGTAACCTGATTTCCTCTACCGTCGTTGCCGCGACCATGACCCCCACGGCCACGACCACCTTGCTCCCGACCACCGCTACCACGCTAAGAGGTGCCACCACCACCATGCTGGTTGCCACCTCAGTTCTGGTTCCCTCGACCAGACTTGTCACCGACACGCTGAGCCGTAAGGGCTGCCGGCGAACCACCACCGCCGCCCGACATAAACTCCTCCGCACCAAGAAGATCGGCGAGTTCCTGGAGTGTTACGGGTTGACCGCTGATGCGTTGGTAGTTTTTAGCGGTGTGTCGAAATTCTGGTGGTATGATGGAAAGAAGAGTGGGAATAAAGCTTCCCGGGTTGTCGTACTCATGGAATGATAACTTGGAAGTGTCGAAAAAGAGTCACGGTGAGGTTGGTCATACTTCGAGATTCTTGGTCAAGGAAGTGTATGGTTTGGTTGAGGGTTTGGCAAGGGAGGAATAGGAAAAGGTTACTTAGGAAAAGAATTAAAGTTTTAGGGTCCGTTTGGAAAGCAGGAAAATGACTTCTGGAAAATGGTTTCTGGAAAATGAGTCATTTTCCAGAAAACATTTTCCTTTTCCAGTGTTTGGTTGCATTTGGAAAACTATTTTGGTGTGTTTGGTTCATTTTCTGAAAAATGAGTAGAATAGTATAATTAAATATTTTATTTTGAATTAAAAATTCATTTTATATTTTTTAAAAAAAAAAAAAAAAAAAAAAATTGGCTTCCGGCGGAACCCAACTGGGTTCGCCGGAAACCATAGCTATGGTTCCCGGCGGAACCCAGTTGGGTTCGCCGGAAACCATAGCCATGGTTTCCGGCTTGGGTTCCGCCAGAAACCATGGCTATGGTTTCCGGCGAACCCAACTGGGTTCCGCCGGAAACCATAGCTATGGTTTCTGGCGAACCCAGTTGGGTTCCGCCAGATTTAAAAAAAAAAAAAAAATAACGAAAGAGAAAGGCGGAAAACGACTTCCGCCCAAATTTGGCGGAAGTCATTTTCCGCCAAATTGGGCTCATTTTCCCCAGTCAACGGAAAATGTTTTCCGTTGACTGGATTTTCCAGGTGTAGCCAAACACCAAAAACTCGGAAAATGACTTCCAGAAGTCATTTTCCGGGTTTCCAAACATAGCCTTAAGGGAAAAGAGATTAGGATTTTCGTGCCGATTGCAATGTGTGATTGGCTTATCCCGTGGCACGGGAGGTTGTGGTGATTGAATGTCGAGTTACAAGTCAAGAGGAATGGCTTGCTAGTGCGTAGCCATTTCGGTCTATACGCCTCCCGTAGGAGGATTTGACACCCAGGTGCTCATATTCTCTACGGGGCATTTTCACAAACACCTTGCCTACATTCTTTCCCGGACCATGTCCTCTCAGATCTAGGGCGGGGAATGTAGGAGGATCAAGAGGCCTACCTAGGTTTAGCAATCTCTTACCTAAACCTAGGAATCCAACATCATCCAAGGAGTTGGGCCCCACTCTAAGGAAGCTACAAAGATCATCCTCCACAACAAGACATACATAACCACAACAATCAACCTTCACAATATAACAAATCAATACAAGCCAATCATCACATAAGCGAGTAAATACCAGTCAAGGTCCCTCGAGTTTTGTGGTTTCACCACCTATAGTCCCTAACTTCCGTAATTACCATCCGTGGTCCTCCGAGTTACGAAAATTGACCTGCTACCATCCTTCTGTTAGTCTCTGCCGTCTAAGCCGTCAAAAGCGTGGGTAGAAAGATCATTTGGCATATATAATTCTTTGGTGGTCATTTTCAGCCATGGGATCCCTCCCCTTGCCGTCTGATCAACGAAAAAATTTCGAAGGCTGTGTTAATGATATCTGCCGTGAGTTTTTTTTTTTTTTTAATAAATTCTGCAATCTTCCAATTCCATCCATATCAAGAACCCAAAAACAAGTCATGGAATCATACACATACAATAGAACTCCAACACAGTTTTCAAAGCCCACGCCCATTGCGATATAGGTCATATGCATACCACTGCTCAAGCCCTCTTCTTGTCCTTCAATGGCCCTCGGCTTTTGCATACCACAGGAATTTTACTCAAAACTTTTGCATCAAACACTGCATATTGCTTCTTGATCTCCACCATTGCTTTCTCGGCAATTGGATCAATTTTGTCTTCATACTTCTCATAAATGACTGGAACAGTATGCAGTAGTACAAATATTATGTAGAACAACGTCAAAAAAATTGCACCAACTGCCAACAATTGAGTGGACCCATAAACCAAAAATTACAGCAAGAAACATCTTGAGATCTCTTCAATATTTAGATGCAATTTCTCACAGCAAAGCCAGACCGCGGTTAATTCTCAATTCTCAGGGCCGTAGCAACCTGAAGGAAGGGATCCTCTGGAATGTGAACTTCTGGGATGCGGGGAGGAGACTTATTGACGAAGGATGATACATTGGACCACAAGAACGAGATTGCAAAAACAATTATCAAAACATGGCAGTCTAGTGTTAGTAGGTGGTAATCGAGCAATTCAAACAGAACCCAGACAGCAGTAGCTCCACCAAGCACTCCACCAGATATCTTCTTGTTCCTCCACAAAAACACATCATCAGGTTTGCCTCCACCGAAAACCTTGTGCACAGGTTGTTCTCAGTCAAAAAGTCGCCAAATATCATCCTTTACGGACGACGGTGACACATCAGCCTTCGGATGCTCTGGTGAATCTTCTCAACTATCTTCTCCATCAAGGATTCTTCGTGATGATCTGAATGTTCCGCGTTCTCCATCAAGAAACTAACGGGAGGATGGTAGCAGGTCAGTTTTCGCAACTAGGAGGACCACAACTGGTAATTACAGAAGTTAGGGACTATAGGTGGTGCAACCACCAAACTCAAGGGACCTTGGCTGGTATTTACTCTCACATAAGCAATCTACACTACAATCCTAATCTCTAGAATTTTAGCCACTCATGATCAAGCTCAACAATATAAACATTTGCAAGATAAACATCATCAAGATAAAGCAATAAAATAGAATAGATCAAGAGTTTACCCAAAATTGCAAAGCTAGATTGTCAAACCAATGGATTAGAAGTGAATATCTTGCAAGGGAAATGCTTGGATCTCCTCTTCTCCTTACAAAATTGAGAGTGTTATAGGGCTAAAATCTAGTGAGAGAAATTTAGAAGCTAATCTAGATCTGAAAAAATTGTAAAACTCTCTCTAATATGTCAAAAGCTCCTCTCCAAAATGAACCAAAATGGCCTTAAATCTGAGAATTCCATTCGACCTCCCATTTACGCTGCGCTCACTGCGTGAC